TTGACATATTTCATACAAATTGTTAGGCCATAGGTATTTTTTCCTGAATTTAACTACGGATTATTTCGTCTACCTGATCAATACACACTTTACACACTACGAAAGGAAAACACGGAAGTTATAACTTATAATTTGGAAGTCTTTTTTAATCTTTCTGCGACATAAGTTCGTCAATGAGAATTGTGTCGTCATGCAGTCTTAACGTTTTATTTATTCTAATCCGAACTATATGATAAAACAATTATGGACTCTCTCGATCTATATTGATATTTTTCTGGTGAATATCAAACCATATTCACAACCCATAATTGTTTTAATATTTGTTAATATTTTTGAAATTCTGAGTCCTATGGATAATAAAAAAAATGAATACATACGCCTTGTAATGGAAGAATTTGGATGATGACAACTTAATGTTAATAGCATTTATCAAAAAATATCATTAGGAAATTCAGAGTAGTGTAAGTGCTTAAGTGTTAATTATGAAATAAATATGTTGTTGTCCAGTAAAACTTATTTTTTCCTGACTGAAATGTTTTGTGTACAAAAATGAGAGGCGGGAGCGTGGGATTGTCATCATCTCACTAATTAAAAATATCTTTTATGAGTAAAGGTTTACAACATGTTTCCTTTAATAATTTCAATTTTAAATCCGCGCTTGAAAAGGGAAGGGTTGTTACATCATAAGCTGATTCCACTTTTATTGCCGTCTTTCATTCTGATTTGGACTGGTCCGACGGAAACACTGGTATAAACAAATGGTTTACAGACCATCGTTCCTATTCTGTTTAAATCATTATACAGTAATGGACAGAGGTTAAAGTTCATTGCTTTTTTTCTTTAATGTCAAAGCCAAGATGACGATTTAGGAAGAATAAAAAAACCCAGTTCAATCTTGACTGTGTCATCTGCTCAAAATCCAGAAATATGAAGTTGAACTTTGCTCTCAATCTACTTTACAAAGTCATTTATCAGTAAGACCCCATCAAATGTATCATTCTTATTTTGAAAAACACTTTGCAAACATGTTTATTTATCTGATTACCCGGGTGTTAATTGAATTCGATAGACATGTACAACTCTCTTCAGTATTTGTTTTTTCTCTCTGGCCACAAATACGTTTAAATCGCTTCCATATGTACTTACTAGAGTTCAAGGTTTTGTAATTTTCTGATGTGGCTAATTTATTTGTACATCATATGTTCAATACATAAAATATTTTGACATTTTTTTTTATTTAAATAATCACATTTAAATTATTTTTTCCTTGAAAAACTAAACCTAACAGGAAAGGAGAAAATGTATATCACTGATTCAAGCAGGAATTGAATTCGGGACCCCTGGAACACCAGTTAGGTGTTCTAACCACTGAATATCCCAGGCCGATATCCACGGCCCAAGCCATTAAAAGAGACAATTTCTGTGTCATAATTTTTATTGTGAAATTTTCATGAAGTTTATAATTTACAGAAAAAATAGGTTTGTGTGTTTTTATTATTAATATCTGATTTAAAAGAAAACTCTTTAGAAACTCACGGTTTCAATAACACAAGAAGCCAACTACAACAGCTAACTTTAATTGTTTAGAGCATCCTCTAGCAGTTAATACTAGTATTGCCAACTGATGTATTTAAAAGAAACTATCTGTTCGCCCAGCTTTCTTTCTATCCGTTCGTATGTTCAAATGTAAACTTTTGAAATTTTATATTTCGCCTTCTCAACCAGAACCACTGGACCAATTTCAACCAAAATTGCCACAAAATCTCCTTGGGTACAGAGGATTCAAGTTTATTTAAATTGCCACACTCTCTTCAAAATCTCCTTTGCTTACAGAGGATTCAAGTTTATTTAAATTGTCACACTCTCTTGAAAGAGAGGATAATCAAGAAAAGATCAGAATAAAAGAGGGTGTCTTAAACAAATCATTTTCTCAAGAACCACTGGGCCAGAAAATGTGAAACGTATGAAAGCTTCATGATATAGTCCAGATTCAAGTTTGTTCAAATCATGGCCCCTTGGGATAGGGTAAAGCCACCGTAAGAGATGAAGGCTTCACATAGGAATATATGTTACAGTCATGCAAGCATAGTGCATTATTATTTATCAGAAAAAATGAGAAAATTGATAAATAGAATGTTTTGAAACCTTTTGTAATAATAGGAAAAAAAGTGAAAGTTTTTACCCACACTCTCTAGTCTCTCTTTGATGTTCACAAAACCTTTCTAACAGGAAGCAAAACAACGTCATACTGGACTAAAAAAATAAATGTTTATTCATAATTTGCACTTGTACTTACACTCTATGAAGTTCTTAATGATTCACTTTTGGTAAACACTGTTAAATCAGTTACTAAACAAAAGTTAGGACTCAAACAGTTGAAAAATTCTGTCATCCATTTTAATATTATAACAAATGCAAATGCCATGTTTCTCGTGCCGTTTCATACAACAGCTGATTAAGATGCACATTTCACGAAACAAAATCATTTCACCTGATCAATATATAGGGTTCAAGGCGGGTGTGACCGTTCGACAGGGAAGGCTTTCTCCTCCTAGGCACCTGATCCCCCCACTGGAATTTCCATCGGTCCGTGCTTTTCTGCCCTGTTCCCAGATTTGTATTGTTTGTAGGTTTTATAAGATCGATTATTGTTTGTTATATCTTCACCTTTGTCATTCTAGATGTATCTAGTTCCCGTACTCGACTCCACTGGCGAAAGGGCTTGTTTAAGCAGAATTGACGAAAATTCTGTTTTGTCCATTTTTCTCAGATCTTATCAGTAATTAATAAGTATTATTTGGAAGTTGGAAGAGAGAGAGAGAGAGAGAGAGAGAGAGAGAGAGAGAGAGAGAGAGAGAGAAAAGTTTCTCTCACTATCACTTCAACGTTCAATATAACCAATATAAATGTTTTATTATTAACGTTAATGATCATACTAATATTCAGTCAGGAACCACCGGGAATATGAAACAACGCTGGCTTTTTAAGTGTAATACATGTATCATTTTATACAAATATCATGTTTTCAACAAGACTATCTAAGCTTTCGATTATGCATCAAATGAACGCTGTAGTGAGTTTAAGAATTTCTTTGTCTTCTGCTTTAATCACACAATGCCCTAGAGTCCTGACAAACCTCAAAATATCAGTGATTCATAAAATGAATAATTATTATAAATTTCTTAAAAACTAACATTAACAATATCAAAAGGAAACAAGTTTCAATATTACATTTCAGTTTTTATGTGTTTTCTATGATAAAAGTTTAATACAGTGTACAAATTTTGAATGAAGTTAAAAAACGTCTTCAAGATCCTACGGCCAGGCGTTTGAATGATCTATAGTGAACATATATTCACAGAACTTCAGCTGTGGGAAACTCTTTACCTAGATATGAAGTAAATAGTGTACACAGGTTTTGTTAATTTGTCCTTTATATATATAGAAAAGTTTTAGTCAAACATTTAACCAATTGACATATTTTTATTTTCATCATGTTTAAAAGATAATTTTGTTATGTCTAGATGGATGTTAGGCACTGGTATAATGAATTTAAAACAAAATCAAAACTTTTCATGTGAAAATTTTGAAAGGTTTATACATACATATACGCCATGTAATGCGAGACCTTTCTTCGTGAGATTATATGTTTATTAAAAAACGATTCATATGGGAACTTTTAAAGTGTGTAGGTTTAAAACAAATAAATCTAATACACTGTATTTCCTTTACTTGGTTATTATAATTGAAAAGTAATGTTCCTGTACAATTGATTCGTTCACAAAGATTTAATGGTAAAAAAATATTTGTTGCGATTGATATAATGATCTAAATAAAATTGTTTACTGTCATTTGTTAATTGTCAAGTACATTAAGTCAACTTCTACAAAGAATATGAATTAATGCCTGTTTTACTAAGAACATTGCACTGCTATTATGAATCAACAATGAAATCAAAACATTTAATGTGTCAGATTTGAAAAATAATAAGTGGGTATTCATTCGCCTTGTAATGCACGATCTTGAGCTATAAAAATCAACTGATGTTTTTAAAGTGGTTATAATATTGGATCATAAGGAAATTTTTGAGAGTGTGGGTTTAAGTGTTAATTATGAAATAAATATGTTTTCGTCCAGTGTAAAGTTCTTTTTTCCTGTTTTGTGTATATTGATAAGAAGCAATAGCATAAGTGTGCCGTCATCTCAATTGCTAAAAGAATGGAAAATTTTATTTATATTTCCTAAACCTGACATAAATTTCGGCTTCAAATAATGCAGCAGGACTGGCATGAGTATACAGACTAATGTCAATCATTTTAGTAAATAAGAGGGAGTAGTGCATCTGATCTTCATTATCCCATCAGCTTAGACAAAAAATATTGAAAATGCAATCGAATGTTAATTTGGTAATTATGGTTGAATTGGCCTGAATTCGTTATATTATCTTTGTTTAGATTAATTCCTGTACAAAATTAGGAAATGTAAGCTCCTTTGTTTGTAGATTCTACCTACAGTTGTGAGTCTTGCGATTGCACTAATCTATGATTATTTTCGGAAGTTTTTTTTTCTTTTTTGAGGCTAAAATATCCCAAAACTTTGGATTTGCTTGCAGGCAAAAATATTTACAATACATTTATTTCAAACTTGTTCTTTGAAAGTAAAGATTTAGTCTTAATTATTTTAAGTATTTTTGTCACTTTTTAAATAACACACAGTTATGATGCACCAGTCGTATTGAGTAGTTTGAATTTTCTTACATATTCGAATGTTTAAGTAATTGTGCGTTAATCGATTATCTTTATTGCCTACTTGAAGTATGATAATTTACAACTTTTTTCTGAACAATTACATAAACAAGCATCAAAGTGTGTGTGTGAGAGAGAGAGAGTGGGAAACTGTGCGATACATCTACTTGAGAGTAACGTTTAAATCATTGAATGTGGCTTATAAGCTGACTCAGTCATGACTCAGTCAAATCTTTTTTTGCCTTAGGGTTGTATATCATCATAGCAAAGCTATTCTGTTTCTTATTCTTCCTGGATCGCCATCTTGGCTTTGACATTGTTCATAAAGAATTAGAAGATAATCTGTTACAAGTCTATTAATTTAAAAAAGAAAAAAGGGGGATAGAAATGAGGAGGAAGATAGCCCTGTTCTTTATACTGATACTGACTATTTCTGGGGGTCTTACCAATCCGGTTCAGAATGAAAGGCAGCAAGGTAAGTAGAATCTACTCATGATATGTCTCGTATCAAGATAAACTTTTCTAAAAAAAAATTTTAAATCAGATTTATAATTGTTTTGAGCATATGCAGAATGTTTCAGCTCAAGGATAAAAGGCCAAAAACAGTGATCAAAAATCTTGATATTGTAATGTATTCTGAATTATCTGCAAATAAAATTTGATCATTGGATTGCTCATTTACAACAGATATGATTTTGGTACAATGCCAAATCAAAGCTCAAGATCTCCTTCGAATGTTGTTCTAACAAAATCATTTTGATTTATCTATATCTACATTCTAAAAGATGACAATCAGCATTGAATGGGCAATCTTCTACGATAAAAATGCTTAATTCACCAATTTGTAGATCAAAGGTCAAGGTTTAGGTGTGATTTTCTAAAATAAAAAAAGGTTATGATTAGAATGGGCTATATCTCAATAAAAAGATATGATTATCAGAAAACGTCGCTATGCGCTATGCGCCAATTTTGGAGCTAAAAGCAAAAGCGAAACAAAATGATTGATCTGAAGACGAACTTACGGACTGATAATTTACTGGAGTAGATCATCAATTCATAAATCACTTTTGCTCTTTGAATTCAGGCACAAATCTCTACATAATAACTTTGTATGATTTACGTATATGATCATTTATAGACACAGGAGGATTGAGTAGAAGAAACGGTGGACGGAGTGGAAGGATTGGTGGATTTCCATTTGTAAATAGACCTCGGCGCCGAACTCGACCGCCATTGGTATCTTTAAGGGATCGAAGCTAGAACTTGTATTTCGACTTTATCTCAGAAACTCTCAGTTTGATAGATCTGCAAAATTGACCTGATTTTTAAGCCTGAAATATTATGTTTATGCAGAGAGAGAGAGAGAGAGAGAGAGAGAGAGAGAGAGAGAGAGAGAGAGATGTCTTATGCTATTTGACCAGGGATTTACTTAAATATATCTACTTTGCTGGTCATGTATTTCCATTATATGTCTAACATATAGTCATATACACTGTGTGATACTGTGTTGTGTAGTGAAAGGCTCCTATATGAAACAGAATACTAATATTGAAATATCTTGCAAATTATTTTTCGCAAATCACAAGAAATTATTTGTATAAGTATGAAATTAAAAAAATGTATACATGTTTCACTGGTATAAATACTATTTTCTATTTGTAGAATGAAAGTTCTACCCATCGATATTGAAATAGTAAATTATTCACAATATTCAAACACCTTTTTCATTCATCTTTTCATACAACATGGACATTTCTTCAAGGTCCCTTTCTGTCTCAACGAATAGAGACAGGTTACAATACTCTAAATGTTCAACTATATCATGGTATAAACTTCATTTACCATCATTGTGTTCTAATCTGTTATTTACATAACAGGAAAATGATGGAGATAGAAACATAGTATTTCAGATAGCTTTACCTGAAAAGTTGTAAAGATGAGTGTCGTGCAAAATCACTTTTCAGCAAAAGGATTTTATAATTTCTTCTTAACATGAGTGTTTTTCGGAAAAGGAAAGGGGCAAGGGATCGTTGATGATACATCTGTGTGAATTGTCTATATCGAGTATCAAACGGAACATCAAGTGTAGTGTAGCCCTTGGTTGATAAAAAGATAAAAAGATAAAGAAAATCTGGTCACTTTTGATATTGTTTACATGAAGGTAAGCACTAATGCATTAGGGAAGTCTCAATCTGGCTAAAGGCATGATGGTTACATACCATTACAGATTCTCTAATAATATTTTCATAATACATGTATGTCAAAATCACACTTTATGTGTTTATTATAAATAATATAATGAAAACAAATATTTTAAATGTAAAAATCCATTCATGATACATTATGTGAGCCATTTGAAATATAAACATATATACAAGTATAAAAAAAATGCGCATTATTTGAACATCGCATAAGTAGCTACCATAATTATAGGAAAAGATAAAATTTGATGCATATGAATATGTAAAATTCATATTCTGAAAATCCAAGAAAGTGTACATTTTAAACTCTTAGCATGCAGCTTAATATCAACGTGTGATAAAATACATGCATATGGTTTCCATAAATCTATATCTTAAAATTAATACGAACAAACATGTACATGGGGAACAGAAGCTTTCATCGCCATCTCCAATATAAAACACTATTGTTTACGATTGTTAGAAACCTATAGCCGAAATTAGCCATAATAGTTCATAAAATTCATGCTTTCCAACTTTCAGTCAATATACTCTATTAGTGAAAAGAAATATAAATACAGTAAAACTCGGTTATAAATAAGTGATTGGGACCTCGAATTTCGCTTACTTATAACGGAGATTCTTTATATCCATGCCAGAAACATAGTAAAAAGTCTTCAACGGGATTTGTCAGAAGTTCCCTATAACCGAGATTTCCTTATCAGTGATTTGTTTATAATGAAATAGGAGAGAATAACGAACAGTAATCTATCTAAAAAAAAACCTAGAAAAAATACAAATCTATGAACAGGGCATAAAACACGAACACTAGAAATTCCTAATGAGGGATCTGGTGCCTTGGGGAAATAAGCAACCCCTGTCCACCGATCACACCCTCTGTGAGTCCTATGTATTGATCAGGTAAACGAAATAACCCCTAGTCATATTTAGTATAAAAATCAAAGGCCTAACAATTGGTATGAATATGTCAGTCACAATACGCCCAAGTGGTAGGTTATTAGCTGACAAGGTCATTTAAACGACCATAGAATTCACAAAATACTGCCTTTAAACGAAATCCCTGTTAAGTGTCGAAAAGTCATACATTTTGATGTTAATGACTAGAAAAGATTTACTGTTGTATTAATATATTAACCTTTTCCCTATTTACCATTACTGATATATTAACTAGAGATATTAGCTATTAAGTAATGTTTCATAGTAAATCAAGGTATCTCAAACTTTTACTTTACTTAATTATAGTTTACTGTCGTAAACTTTATAACAATAGCTCTTTTGATTGATAAGATTGCAGATTACTAGTCTGACATGCTGTTGGCATGTACTGTGGATGAACATTAATATACATATATTTGACCAATTGTGTATCTGAGGGTTAGTACGAATAAATTGTAAAAATGCACTCAGAAATACGATAAAGGAGGTTATCCACCAATCATTGTTGCGGATCACAATATACAGGGCATGTTTTTTCTTCCTTTTGAACAAATGTTGTGTCACTGGTCACGTTAAGGATAAAATAAATACGTAGAGAAGCAAACTGATGTCTAATTAAAGAAATAAAATGAAAATGAAGACAACTATTTCTGTGTTGTTTGTATTGGTTGTGCTTTTTCCGTTGGTTAATACCAAAGCAATTATTGAGGAAGGACGGGGTAAGTGGTAATTTTATTATGAAAGAAAATCTCGAACAGCCTGATCCATTCTATTTTAAGTTGTTGGTTTTGTTAAAAAAATGAAAAAAATATTTGGTAATGTAAATTAATATTTTAAAAATTACGTATAATGTAAAAATTTTCACAAATATCAATGTAATTATTGCAGGTGATCGTGATGAGTTTTCTTTCCGCATGGCCAATCTAGTTTTGGATGAAGAACAAGGTAAGTGGCAATTTTATAATGATTCTATGATTTACTATATTCTCAAACAGCTTTGGCTATAATATTTAGGTTGTTGATCTTTAAAGAATGTGAACAATAATTATTTTGTGTAGTAACCTATACAAATATTTTGATATTGACTTGAGAAAGAAAAAAAAATCTTCAAATATCAATGTTATTATTGGAGTAGATGATGATGAGATTCCATTTATCCAAAAACCTGGAATTTCCAGGACGAACAGAAGATCCTTTGAAGAAGAACCTGTAAGCCGTCGTACTACTCCGGAAGGATCAAGACTGAAGAGTGGTAGATTAAATGGCATAAACTTTGCAGGAGGGCCTTTAAGACGTGCAAGACCGCAGAGAAATAGAAATGGTGCTGGTAGACGACGGCGCCCTGGTACACTACGGCGCCCTGATAGACGACAGCTTGAAAGATTGAGACCAATTTTGGATGATAGATACATGTTGTAATCGTGTCTTGAATGTGTTTAGAATATATCCATTTAATATTAAATATTTTCAATAATATAACATTTACTTTTTTCCAAAAAAACATAAATATTCATTTGATATGATTCTTCTTTTCTTATTTTTGTGAACAACCCATACAAATCCTAATTTTCATGTCGACAATTAATCCAAAAGTTGAAAAGTGTATAAAATTATGTAAAATTATCTTTATTATATGTATAAAAAATAAAATTGTTCTATCAAATGATGCAAAGTGTACATTTTACACTTCAATGACTCAGGATTGAGGTCGTGCCATTAACATACTGTATCTATGCCGTTTTTCTATGCAATATTTGATATGTACCATGTTTTGCTTATGTGCGAGGGAATTATTTGGACAACCCAATATTTTTGGGGGGCGGTTTAAAGACGAATAATTAATGACCCCCGTAGAAAAATGACCTGGGGGTCATCGGAAAATGACCCTCTATCCGTAGAAAAATGTAATTTTTTTTCTACATGTGCAACCTATAAGAAATTGACCCCCGGTGGAAAATGACCCCCATCCCAAAGAGTGATACAAAGTTTAAAAAGAGATGATTGGTGCAAGGTTTGGGTCTCAACGTGTATTCTCTTGCGTTTTTTTAAATACACACTGGACGAACACGCAATTTAAAGTATTAAGCAACATTACATGTGTTTCTTTTTATTAGACATATTTGATCTCAGCACACAATTAAAATTGCACAATAGATACGTAACAGTGGCTATTGGTTAAAGCTATTATTGTGTCGTCAAGAACGCATGCCAGGATGCCATATTGTTATCATTAGAACTATTATTTTATCAGAGCATTTTCTTGGAGATTTCGTGGACAAACTTAACGAACCTTTTCAGAAAAGACGATCAGCAACGCTAAAGAAGATGGGTGAACAGGGTGTGCAGAATGCCTTGTTGAAATTTATGAAATTATAATGAACAAAACTTTTCTGAGAAAAAAAGATCTCGGAAAAAATTATTCTTCTATTTAAAAAATAGAATGGTATTCGTAGGAATCGATCCATAGCAATAAATATCCGGAGTATCATATTGCTTTTAGACTAATATGTTAACCACTACGATACACAGCTCCTGATGAATAGTGGCATTTAAATTATGTTTGTGATATGACCCTTGACTTAATTGACCAAGTATTTCTCGGAAAGATGCGAATGCTTTGTCATAAAAGTGTACTTTTAATGTATAGTGGATCTTTGCTCCATGTTTTTGTAAACCAAAAAATGTATATTTTTATGCAATTTTCAGGATTAACTTTCAAAAAAATGGAGCGAAGACCCACTCATATCGAAAATTTTGTTAAAGTATGAGAAAAAGATCCTTTTGGTCATATTTAGTGTGTGTATTCTATTTCATAGGCAAATAATTTCAGTCTTTGTAAGATTTTTGTAAATTAAAGAGATTTTACAAAAAGTATACTTTAATGTTAGATGAATTATCAAAGAAAATTTTGATATAATTGGGATTTTAATTTTCCCTTCATGTTTGTCGCACTATACATGTATGCACTTCGCCCGCCTTGTTCACCCATCTCCTTTTTTCCATTGCTATTGAAAAGGTTGATTGATTGATTGATTGATTGCATGGGCCATTGAGCAATGAGGGTTCTTTATCTAGCCAATTCCTACTGAGACACGGGGCTTCGGTTTTTAAGGTCTCATCCTAAGGTCCCACAGCTTTCACTTCAAAGTGCCAAGCGCTTGGCTGGAAACGTTGGAAAAACTTTTTCACACAACGAACGATTTAATTAACGTGTATAGTTGATTGAAGTCGATTTATTTGTCAATATATCAAAAACACATTTGAAAGATTTAATGAGAACAACAGATCACCCTCAAATTACCTCAGGTGGGCATTTTGATTCACCGGCCTCTTGATTTATAATTCTAAATCTTTTAAATCTTTTAAACCAAAAAGAAAATATCTCTCTAATAAAATCTACAAGGGGTCATTATTCTACGGGGGTCATTTTTTTTTCACGTAGGGTATGCAAATTTTAAGGGTTCTTGCCACTTTTTCTACAGGCAAAGGGTCACTTTTTGACGTCGAATGACCGGGAGTCATTTTTGGACGTCGAATAATGACTGGGGAGTCGTTTTTCGACTGGTCATTATTCTATGGGGGTCATTATTCGTCTTTACAGCGGCACATTTCTAAACTGACACAGCAGTATATCTAAATCACATAATGAACAATTAATAAAAAAATCAAGCAGATTCAGAACGTAACAGAAACAGCTTTTCATAAGAAATCGTGAAACTACAACGAGTAGGACCAATGCTTTTGCCTCTTTATGATTCTACCATATGAAACATGACACTTAAATGTACATCTCATAAATATATATTACCTCGCCTTGTATAAATACAACATATATGTCTAATTCCACCAAAGTATGTATAAATACTAAGGATGGAAGCTGGAAACCAATTATCTTTAGTTTCTGGCTTGGAACGATGATTAGTTGGTTGCAATCTGTAATCAGTTATAGTCGAACATTATAAAAAGTGCGTATATTTTAACTCATTTTCATTAATTTTTCTTTCAAATTCAGGTTAAAGAGAAAAAAACTGTGATCATTGATAAGATATAGGGTCTAATATATCAAATTTAGTTAACTTGCAGATATTTAAGGTTTCCTGGATTGAGATCATTGGCCATGGATACTCAGTATTTGGACAGTTTTGAAACAAATCTTCAGTGCCCAATTTGTCCAGTATACTATTTATTTAAAAATGATTAGTGAATATAAAACAACTGTTGAGTACTGTAAACTTATTTTTTAACCTGCTACAGTGCGTATCTTACCTGTCAATCCTCTGCATTTGTCGACAAATAATAATCCCCCCCCTGAAAATTTAATATTTATAGTTCTGATTAAGGTGACAGTAGAGCAGAAACATGTGATATTTGATTTCAGAAATCATTTTAGTCTCTGATATACATGTATCTGGAATGTTTTATTTTCAAAATAAAATCAATACTGTGTTCATTTTAAACATAGACATAATATTACTGAGTATTGTATTAGCATATAAAATAGACTTATCAGAGAAAATAAAACCAAATAAATGAGACTGATCATAAAGGCATTTTTACATATGATGCTCAAGTTTATTAATTCATGTTTAGGAATATATTTTTGGTAAAATAATGGGAATAGCCCACAGATCAGGATGAAATTCGGGATCAGGAAGAAGAAAAAAAACTACTAAACTTGTACAATAACCATCCTTAAACTTCAGTATAATATATATTTATTCTCATTATACATGTATTAATGATTCAGGAGAACTATGAGTGTTGAGTATAAATTTATTATGTGTAACGTGTTCGTTACTAAGAATCAAAGCTCATATTGTAACTAATCGTTCTTCCTGGATCTGTCCAATTACACACACAATATAAGCATGGTCGTACTGCGCATTAATCAGATTTATATCAACTCAATCACAGAGGAAAGAGATGAAACCAAAGGCCATGTTACTGGTGTTCTTTATAATGACTCTGAGCTTCTGCACAGTCTTCACTGATCTAGATCAAGGTAAATTCATTAGCAGATCGAACGGTGTTCACAGGTAAATTAGTCTACATTTCATAAATGTTAATTTAAATGAATTTTTTTAAAATATTTTAAAATCTTCTTGAAAAATAATAATTCGAATATTTTTTTTTTTTTGATAAATTATGTCTGATGTCTGAAAAATTTAATTTTTATTCCAACAGTTGTCGAAGCTATTAACGAAAGATCCAAAACTGAAATTTCGAGAAGAGGTGGTTTTATGTTTGTGGGACCAAGGCCCCGGCGTAGACCACGACCAGGACGTTTCAGAGAAATACAGGTTTCAGAAAAATAATGGTGAACGGACATCTTTTGGTTGCCTAGTGTACAGATAATTACCTCCCGATTAAATGTAACATCTTAACTTCATACGGGATCAAAAGTAGAATTTTGCATTTCCAACAACGACTGGATATAATGTATGGAAAAGATAGAACACATTTCATTTTCAAATATGGTGTGTAAGTAATTGTGTTAAAGTTGCTAAAAGTCTTGCATTTTTCTATGTTGACTATATGTACATGTATATTTGAATATTTGCGTGTTAAATATAAAAATGTGATTTCAAAAACATTGCATTGCATAATTTTCAGTAATAGTTTCAGTTATGTGAAAGTTTCAGTAATGTGTAATCCCTTGCAAATACTTATTTGCTTGGTTTGTTGTGAAAGTATTAAACAATTGTTAGTTTTTTCTGTTTGAAATCTGTGTTTGAAACATTACACTTGATCAATTTTAGAAATTCTAGCAATTCCATGGCTAAAGTTATGTTATTTAATCTACTTCAGTGATTCACATAAGTATTGCAAATTGCGTCGTGTCGTCACCAAGAAGATAACTGTATATTTTCGTTACTACAAACTCTCCAGGGGCTCGTAACATAAAACTGCTAAGTTTTTGACTTAAAGAGGATTGCTACACAATATTTTATTTCATAAAATTAATGTTTAAGAAACCCCCTTTTAAAATATGGTTTCAGCATTGAAAGACCAATTTTAGTTCTGAATTATTTTACATATTTTTTCATTTTTATTTAAAGGAAAATGTAAATAAAAAGTTTTAAAAAATACAAATATGAGGCTTTATAGATTAACTATGCTGGTAATAAATGCATAATATGAATTTCTAAAGTCAAACATTACAAGAAAAGTCAGAAAGACATTATAAATAAAAAAATGTGAATATCTTTCAATCCTATGTACATATTTTGCTATGGAAAAATCAGAGTTACTTTCCCTCTCTATCGTACATGTACATTTTATATTGTAAGACAGGTAAGTAGAATGAAGATCAGTTAAACGTCTATGTTTTTGTTTATTTTAGTGTTAAATCTAAAGCAAACAAGCATGGCGCGGCGCCATGCCCTTTTTTTTTCGGCGCCATGCCCTTTTTTCCAGCGCCATGCCCTTTTTTCCTTGCAAAAATTAATAAATATGCCTAGCAGAGGCAAGATGGACTAGCGGCTTTGTTTATTCAGTGCATGCTGATTAGCCCCTTTGTTTATTTAATGCACGCAAAGGTGTGAATTCAGGACAGGAAATCACTTGTCGCTTGAACGCACACAGCCACCTGGCCAGGTAACATGCCTCAGGCTGTCAGGGTATAAGAGATAACACGAGAAAATATCATTTGATTGCATTGATTATGCAAGAATTAGCCCAATGTCACAGATAGATTAATTTGTAAATTAAAATGTTACACATTGTAAATCAGGATCGTTTTTTTTTTAAATTGAAAGTAGAAAAAACAGAGTTGATGAAGAAATGTGAAAAATAAAACTGCTGATAAATTAAGACAACTTACAATGTACAGTACCAAAAAAACTGAATATTATAATTATGTGTGAAATGGGCTAGGAAACATCAAAGTATGAAGTTAGTTTCTATCAACATGTTCAGTGATTCTGTGTTCTAACTTTTTAAGTTGACATCCAGAGAATCAATGTTTCTAAGCCAGAAAAAAAGTTTTAACCAATTTATATATTATTTCAAGTTTAATTTTTTGGTATGTTCAGTTTCACTTGATTTTGTTGGTAGATTATTTTCAAAATAAAGAGAATGCCCTCTACATTCATTATCCAAGTAGTCCTCCCTCCCCCCCCCCCCACTTTGCAATTTTGTTCTGTTATTTACCTCATACACAAATAACAATATTAAAGTAAGGAAAAAGAATTCATACCCCAAACTAAAATAATTTTTGAGCAAGTGACAAAAGGATTCACACCTATTACTTTTTAAGCATAACCTTGATAACCATATTAATTTCTTGATTAAAAAATTTGAATATAAATTTTGGCAATAATTGCCCTCTCAGTGTGTATTAAATGAATTAAGCTGACAGATTTATAAATTTCTCTTTTAGATACTTGTATAACTAAAGATTTCAGTATTAAATAATAATTTAAGTACATAAACATGATAAAGAAAATATTTATCGTTAAAAAAGTGCCTGTCGCGGCATAAAGTGCCCTTTTGATAATTGGATTACCATGCCCTTTTTAGGGTCTGGATTTAACACTATTATTTGCTTTCTGTTTCACGTCCCTCTCGAGTATTTTTTTACTCATATGTTGCCGCCACCACTTGCCGGTGGAGGGCTGCAAATTTTGACCTATATTCAGCACTCAGGGTCATTGAGCAGTGAGGGATCTTTTTTATGCCAGCACCTACTGCGACACAGGACCTCGGTTTATACGGTCTCATCCGAAGGACCGGTCTCCACGTCCCGCAGTGGGATTCTAACCCGCAAAGTAAGGATAAACTCCTTACTCCACGACTCTAAAGCAAAAACTCTAACCACTGTGCCACGCGGGCGACTCGTGCTATGTATTAAAATGCTTGTTTGCATATTTCAGCTTATCTGGTTAAAACAATCTTCTTCAGGATGTTGCTTTAAGCTATATTTAATGGAAACTTCGCAGCCGTTTTTCTACAGCAAGCATTAGTCCAAAATAAAAGCACGTATTAAAGTTTGCTAAAACTTGTCTGCAAGTTTCACAATTGAGTTGACAAGTGTGTTCGTATCTTCACGAGGATAATTTTCTCATGTGAATGAGGTTCACGAGAGAGTTTTTTTTTAATTTGTTAATTGTCGTGCCCCATTTACCTGTTGTTGTATAAATAATGGTTTGATATCTTGGTATAAGCGACCAAAAAAAAGGTGCAACGAATGTGAAGGATATATCCCATTGCTGATATCAAAGGTATTAAAACTAATATGGCGTATGCCTATTTACGAGTCGTGTTCAGCTCTAAGGTTCAATATAATTAGACTTTTATGACTATTAAGAATCATATAATCATGCATGATTAATCTTTTTGCGTAAAAAATACTGACTGATATTAATTTTTACTGTTACACAAACCGTTGTTCTTAGAACTGTTCAATTAAACAGTAAAAGTATGTGATATACCATTCCGACAGCTAAGAGGCTACTTTAGGGCTGTCAAGTTTTACACACTAGACAAGGAAACAGACCGATATAGCTCAGAATAACTTACCTTGTGACAATAAAAGTTCTTTTTAGGCAAAGTCCAATTAAACACAAAATTGTGAGCAGAGCCAACACGGATCTGTGAAATCAGAGGTGGGATCAAGTAACATCGAGGAATGAACAAGCCTTGTCAACCGATCACATCCGCCCTCTGCCCTTTGTCATGATCGGTGAAATGAAAAAAGTCCGTAGACAATACAGTGTGAAAATTATGACCTAACAATTTGTGTGAAAGTCGTTAGTCAACATTTGAACTAACGAAAGGTTACACTTTCAAACAAAGTCATTGTATCAACCATAGAATTTGAGAAATGTTGACTTTAAACAAGTTGTATCATCAAATTATTTTTCAATAGCCTGACTTTGATATTGTTTATATGAGACTATGCTTTTGCTTATCGAACTTGGAGACATAAACACGGTTAAGGTAGTAGCAAAAGTGAATGTTAAAGATTAAAAAAGGAAATGTCTGTGCTGTAATAAAAATATTAGAATAACTGAGAAAAAATTAAAATGTAGGTATATAGACTGTCTTGCAAATGATGAGTAAATTAGGTTACATCTCCATTTCAAGGGAAATATGCAAGTTGAACAATACAGAGAGAAAATCAGAATAAGTTTACATTCATGTATTTCTACCATCCTTAAATCACAATGAGATAATTGCTTACATATTCATTACAATGTACATATTTAATTTATTACAATGACATATTTAAGGAAGGGTTGAAGAGCCGAGTGCAAAAGATTTTGTAAACAAATCTGAGTAAATTCGACATAACACGGTTTACGTTTGGTAGGGATCAAAATAACAATGCATATGTTACTCTTACTGGACAATGGATATGTGACGTGTCACGTAATGGAAACAATTTAAGCAGGTTTCTGTCTCCCTTTCATTAGAAATTTCAAGACAGTAACCGTAACAATTCATTAACAGATTTAATGTTGAAAGATATGATACCAAAAAACCATTGTAGTTGTGTTCTTTATACTGATGTTGAGCCTCTACACAGCTTTACCTGTCACCGATACGGAGAAAAGTGAGTTTCATTAGTTGATTGAAATTTGCACAAGTCAAAATTATTTAAGATTTTCGAAATGTTTTAAGGAAATTTATTTTATCTATAAAATTATGGGGGGGGGGGATTCTTAATATATTTTTACGTACTCAATTTTTTTAAACTTTCAATTCACGTAGTCGAAGCTATTGACATTGGAAAAAATGTCGGTGATGATCATTCCAGAATAGGTGGTTTCATTTTTGTATCAGGACCGAGGCCTCGCCCTCGACCGCGAATAGGACCTTACAGAGAAATTGAAGTTTCAAATCAATATATGTGACTGGATATTTTCGGTTATGCATGTATTTGTAGTCTGGATACATTGTACTATCCTCCACACAACTCATCTGTATCGCCTTCTTGTGAAAACTTAAAGATCAATCAAGAAAAAGTAGAAAAAAAGACTCTGAGCTCAAACATGAACCGTTTGTGTACATTATGTTTTGTTTATTATAATGGATATATACATATACATTGAAAAAAAAAAAAAAAAAAAAAAAAAAAAAAAAAAAAAAACAACTTAAAACAGCGTTGAAGTTGATCTGTGGAATATGTGTTTATGTGAACATGTAAAGTATGTATTTATTTTTGTATGTGTATTATAGTATGTGTAATTATTTTATTAGAATATATATTTATGAAATGATATTTTATCGTATAATGTGTTTCCTCATAATTACCACAAAAGTATCAATTCCATGTATGTGATGATTGTTAACATCACTTAATTTCATCTGATTTCATCGGAGAAGGAACGGTGCGGAGACAAATGAAAAAAAAAATACTCAACTTCCTAAGCATGAACAAAGTCTGGAGGTTTTTATTATTGTTGAAGCATAACGAAAAGGACTTGTTTTTAAATGAGAACACCTACATATAAGCTTTAATCAGTCCCCGTGATTCCCCTCCCAGTTAAATGGTAGATTGTAAGAAGTTTGGCAACTTTTTACTTGACAGTTTGGACATAAAAATATGAAATCAAATCAAATAAGATTTAGAAATTGGCGTTCACAGTCATTTACCTTTAATGTACTTTTTGTAATAAAAAAATGTTTTACTTCTCAGAATGTAATATTGTCTCTATCATTACATAACTTTTTTCAGTCTCTTTGACAATAAAGTTTGCAAAAATAAA